TAGTGCATTAACTCATGACCAAGGAGGATATTGTCCATTATTGGCCGTTCACTGATAAAAGCATTCTGGCCATCCGAAATGATTTATGGTAAGAGGCAAGCAAGTCTTTCAGCAAGTATTTTGGTTATAACTTTGTACACAAACTGACATAAGCTGATAGGTCGGAGTTGTCTTATCGCCTCCACATTATTGACTTTGGGGATCAAAGTCAGCCAGGTATGATTAAAGCTACGGAGCATCGTACCCGTCCTCTAGCATACAATTTCAATCACCGACTCGCCAACAATGTCCCAAAAAATCTTAAAAAATTTCCCCGTAAACCCATCAGAGCCAGGAGCCTACTTCAATCCCATGGAGAAGACCGTTTGCCTCACTTCGTTAGGAAGGACTTCAGCCGTAAGACTGGCATTCATTTTTGGAGAAACACTATGGGCTATAGGAAGATCAGCCACCCGATCAGTCATATTCATCACCTAGTTCTCCGAGGTGGAAAGTGTCTGATAAAAATCATTGGCAATGTTTGTCTTTCCATTTTCCTCAGTGATCCATTCCCCACTGTCATTGCGAAGGCCAGATACGAAGTTTTGTTTTCTACGCGCTCTCGTAACCGTGTGGAAGTATGAGGTATTTTTATCATCCTTCTTCAGTCATCGGACTCAAGATTTTTGATGCTAGTACAACTCCTCCGCCTCCCATTGTCTAGCTAACTCAATTTCCAGCTTACGGACCTCATCCCAATCAATTGGGCGGAATAATTTTATTCGGTCAATTTGAGCCTGGAGAGTCTTAATGTTGCGCAGGGAATTCGTAATGCCCGCCCTACTCCAGTCATAGAGCAAATGACGAAGCTTCTTAAGACCTTCCCAGAGGCGAAACATTGAAGTACCCTGAATTTCCTCCTGCCAAACGTAATTCACCATAGCCCTAACCTCTCGATTATCCGCCTAGCGGGCATCGAATCGAAAGAGGGGACGGCTATTACAAACGTAAGGCTTGTCGGATAAAAGAAGAGCTCGATGATCAGACCCCTTATCCGTAAAGTGTTTGACCAGGGTATCTGGGTAGCTATCAACAGGACTGTGAACATAGAGTTCTGTCCAGTCTCTCACGAATACAAGCCGCACCCATACGTTTGTTTGTTCATGGGAATTGATCACCTAGGTAACCGTGGTCATGGAGACCCAGGTCATGAAGAAAATCCTACAAGGCAAGAGAGCGAGTAGCACTCCACGGATTACCTCAGTCTTTTTCACTCTCACATGGACGCTTGTTTTCTATTATTTGAATCACTAAAATGAGGATTTTTTTTCATTTGTAGTTTTCATGGTTTGTGTAAAAAAAATTCCGACAAGATATTATTCACTTTGAGTTCAGACTCTCATGGACTTTTCCTTATGGTGCATATTAGGATGACTTCTCATAATACCATCCTTAATGTGGGTGTGGGGGAAAATAGGAAAAGCGGGGGGAGAGGTTTTGGTCACACTATGGGGGTGGGAAAAGTGGGTAATTGGGTTAACACTTTTTATTAAAATCAATCTATAGTTGATTTTGTCATTTTATTTTCATATAATGATCATTATTTTTACGTATTTAGTGATAATTAATTAATACGAACATTTCGATATAATTGTTTTTTATTTGGACATAGTGTTTTCATCACAATAATACATTGGACACAAAAACAAAACAAACAACCTTTAAATCAAAAAATAGCAGAAAAAAAAACAAAAACATCACCACCAGCCCACGGGGCCCACCGCCCCCACCCCTACCCCCACCTTTTGTCGCCTACAGGCGAGTTTTCCCACCCAATTTCCCCATTTCTCCATCTTTTCCACTTTTCCTACCCACATTGTGGGTTATTTTTCCACTTTTCCCCCTAAACCTACCTACATTGTGGAGAGTCTAAGGTCACACATCCTTGCAGTGCACCAGAGAGAGTATGTTTATCTTCGAAGTTCTCAAAAAACTCTTCCATTTTACCGTGAAAGCCTCTTGTAAGTTAATGTCGGTTTCTTAATGACAAAAAGATTGGTGTCACATTTGAATTTTGTATTACTTACAAATTTTAACCATTGATTCAGCACGTAGTATGATGGATGTATATTAAATTTCCCACCATCTTGTTGTGAGCATATGACAAATGACGAACACATTGGCAAAACAAAGTAGCAAGTATCCATGCTTAGCTCGATCAACATTGACTTGCAACTCAACATGATCACAATTTGTAACGAATCGTAACCTATTATGATGTGATCCTATATCACATGTTTTCAAAAATTTACTATTCTTTGGACAAATTATGTTGACGACGAGTAACTTTCCATGACTCGATATCTAAAACAATCTGACTTAGCTTGGACTGCAATTTATTATTCCTTTCAATGCATCTATTGTACTCGACTTACCGAACTAAACTAACTTTTGAAATCGTACCATCTCCCAGTAGTCGCAATTTATTTTTTATTCTAATTAATACTTTTTTATGATTGCTATTCTTGTTTTGTGAAGTAGTGCCCAAACTGTTAACCGAGTTCGTTTCAACAACCTTTAGATTGAACTTGTTTTACTTTTTTTTATTTTATTGTCCTCTTTTCCATTGTACCATCTTCGTCCAAGCTTCTTGATATGGACGAGTGGTGCTCCTTTTTTCCTTGTTGCTGTTCTTCTCGATCGAGTACTGCCATACGGATCCCGACGAATCGACAAACCAGATTTTATTAAATTTTGGTTGCCATGTTGATGATGGCTCGAAATGAAAGAAAACAAAACAAAACAGTGTGAGAGAGACAACTTATGTAATTGTCAATTTGTTTGGTGGGAGATCATAAAAACCAATTCCTTCATTTTGGGGGGGAGTCCTTAATTTCATTGAACTGAATGTCAGTCTTTTGTCCTAGTCGGTTTCTCAACTTCGGTTTGTTCTTTTTCTCTAATTTGGATAGGTAATAATGCAGTTTTTTTCAAATTAAGTACTAATCTCGTAATCCATATTCTTTGTCCTTTCAACAAAGAGACCACCATTGTGAAAACTACATTATCACCAGTGACGGATTCAGGGGTGGCTACCCCGGATCATGGCCCAGCCCTCTTCTGGATCCGGAACTAGTATAGTTTTTACGCGTTTATCGATTTTAGTTATTCGGTTCAATGTTATTTTATATTAAAATTGTGTGTAATTCGAAAAATGGGTAAGGTGAACATATTCAAATCATAACTCTAATTTTAGTCTAGAAATTCTAGCTCAAATGAGTCTCGTCTAAAGAAAAACAAACAATAAAACTTAAAATTATAAAAGTCTAAAAGTAAAAGGCTAAAAGAAATATGAGATTTGTTCACTTGAAAAATCAGTATAGCAGGTGGTGGAAATAGGGATGGTTACACAATACAAATTGATTAGTCGATTGATTTGTCTAGTGTTGACATTGTCCATTTCAACAGCTACTATATATGGAGAACCTTTTCAACAATGGAACAGGCGAAAAATGATTTGCGCAACAAGATGAGCGATGAATTTCTCTCCGATTGGTTAACTATTTTATTTGAAAAAGAGTAGTATGCGATTAGTATGGATGTAGACTCATTTATTGATGAATTCACTATATTAAAAGATCGACGTGTACAGTTGATATTGTAAAAAAAATTATATTTTTAGCAATATCTAATTTTCTAATGAAATGTGGCCCAATGCTTTACTATGTCCTGGATCCGCCGCTGATTATCACCCAAGATTGTATATGGAAATGGTGGGGATGTAGTATGACAACCAAGGTTGCCAAACTGGTTTATGCCAGTGTGCCGGTTTAGCAAGTGAAATTGTTCGACCGGTGGTACATACCGATTTGTGACGGTTCATGCCGGCCAATATTACAAATAATTTACAAATACTCATATTTAAACACGACATTTAACGTCAATATCTAAACATTTGTACTTGAATCCAACAAATAACATCAAATTTAACTTTTAAGCTCATAGAATAAATAATAAATTAATTTTTATCAATTATATTCACTAAGATAAGATCATTTTACTTAGAGATTCGTATATCGATCATGTCGGTCATACCGGTGGTGTCACGCCGGTTTTATGACCGGTACCGGTTGAACCAGGTTCAACTAGTGACACGCCGGCCGACATGACAACTATGGTGACAACTGACAAGTAGTTTGAGTGGAGCGGGTTTTATATATTTTGTATCATCTCCAAAATGCAATTTAAAACAAAGTAATTTCTGTAATGAAAAGTATACGGGAATATTACATGACATACCAAAACCTACTCGTATGCGGTTCGAGAAGATATCATAGGCATTATCCGTGGACAATCATATATAAAATTCTTCATATGATGTGGGGGGAAATTAGAATGTCACTGTTAAGTGTTGGCAAGACATTTATTTATAATAGTAAGGAAAATGATCAAGATTTGGGTCTAAAAGATAATTATAATAGTTGAGGAGATATGGATGATCGAATTAATGAAGTGAGTGAGTCCAGACCATAGTTGTAGCACATATTAGGGTAGATTCAGACATATATTTAAGTCGAACAAAACTCCAGTATTAAACGCTTTGTCATCCTTACTATGACAATTCGTTCATTAAAAAAAAAAATCCTTACTATGACAATTCAAAATTAAGCTATTTTAAAAGACGGTGTACATGCTTGAAATCGCGCACTCTCTCGAACGATGAAATACAAGATAGCCTCAGACATATACAATCAATCGGGACTCATTATGGAAAACGATATTTTGAACTAACCGAAACTCAAACCTCATAGTAACACGCCCAAAAGTTTGACACAACAAAATGAAGGCCACAAGAAGCAAGGTTGTAGTATAGCCATTTGGCCGCGTTATTTCTAATGTTTGCCCCCAAAGTTTTTATAAATACGTTTACCTTCAACCGAACCTTCCAAGCACCTTCTCTCCGGCCCCTATATAAGCATCCCCAAAGCCAGCCCTCGTCTTTACTCATCATTTTATATCCTCCAAAACCAAACCAAAAACCTCCCCATCTCCGATCTCAACATTCTCTGATCCTGGAAAACAAAACGGAACCCAAAACAAGAAAAGAAAAATGATGCCGAAGAGGCGCTTTGATGCTCAGTGGGAAGACGAACACAACGTCGAAAACGGTGGAAGATCATCATCCATCCCTTCTCCAAAGAGATTCAGAAAGTACGAAACCAAACAAACTACATCTTTACTTTCTGCTTTCCATCTTCAAATGTTTAGTTTCTGATCAAATTAACAATATATGCAGTGCGGTGAGAGATGTTCTTGGGAAGCAATCCATGGCGGACTTCGCTTCCAGCATGGAACCTTTTCTACGATCAGTGGTATGTATTGTTTTTCTTTTTCTTTTCTGGGTTTTCTTTCATTTCTCTTGGTTTTGTCTATTTCATCCGCCATTGATGAGCAGTCGAAGAAAAGTAGTCGCTGTAGTAGTAGTAGCTAGTAAGCTGGACGAGCTGACTTTGGCTTGGTCAAAGTCTTCTTAAACAAATAATAAACGTACTTCTCTCAGTTTTCCATTTCCTTTTATTCTTCTCCACTAGCTAGCTAGTAGTATTTATGGTTTCAAAATTTGATTCCAACCACTTGTGCAGATTCGTGAAGAGGTCGAAAAGACAGTTGTCCGCGTGCTCAGCCATCGATCATCCTTCGGTTCCAGGTCAGTTAATTACTTTCCATGACCAAATAAGTTATCTTTAGCGACGGGGTATATTTAGAGATTTTGTTGACTCATTTTTTTTTTCTAACTTCTATTTTGCAGGACGACTTTTGAAGGATCTGGGGTGAAGAAGGGACTGGTCCTTCACTTCGTGAACAAACTTCCTTCCCGCATCTTTACCAACGCCAGGATCGAAGCGGAGGATGGGAACCCCGTGAGGATCGTGCTGCTCGATGCAGCGACGAACACGATCGTCTCCTCGGGCCCGTTGTCTTCGATGAAGATCGAAATCACCGTTCTGAACGGTGATTTCGGATGTGACGATCGAGAAGATTGGTGCGCAAAGGATTTTAATGATAATGTTATCAAGGAAAGGGAAGGGAGGAGGCCGCTGGTGACTGGGGAGCTCAGCGTTGTTCTGAAGGATGGAGTTGGGCAGATCAGCGATGTGGTTTTCACCGACAACTCCAGCTGGCAGCGGAGCAGGAGGTTCCGGCTGGGAGCGAAGGCGGTGCAGAGAGGAGGTGCTTCTGGGGAGGTTGTCAGGATTAGGGAAGCTAGAAGCGAGCCTTTCGTCGTCAAGGACCACCGCGGTGAATGTGAGTATTTGAAAAATACATGGTTTATCTTCTTTTTTTTTTTTTTTGTAATGACCGTATGTGAGATGAAAATTGGTGAGGTGGAATAATATGGATTGAAATTTTTTCAGTGTATAAAAAGCACTATCCGCCAAAGTTGGGAGACGAAGTCTGGAGGTTGGAGAGGATAGCAAAAGAAGGCGCGTTCCACAAGCGACTGTCTGCCAATGGAATCAGCACGGTGAAGGAATTTCTCAAGGCTTATGTCATTGACCAAACTACTCTAAGAAGTGTAAGCAGCTATTGTCTTAATCAATCTCCATCTTCTTTCTTGTTCACCTTCATTTTAAACTCTTATTCAATCTAATCAACTAATTTCTCTGCTCCTTTTTCAATAGATTCTTGGAGGCGGAATCTCGAATAGAATTTGGGATTCGATCGTCCAACACGCTAATACATGTGTGCTGGATGAAACCAAGTTCTACGTCTACAACGACCATGCTCAAGGCCTCAGGCTCCTGTTCAATTCGGTGTATAAGCTTGTGGGCGCTATGTTTGACGATGGGCACAACTACGAGCCTCTTGATAGACTAACCCCTCCCCAAAAAGTAAGTAAAAACCATTCGAGCTTTCTTTCTCGCTTTTGATCACTAAAATCCTCTTCTACAATTCTTGACACGGTAATAAAATCTCACCGAATATGCTTCACTCGCTTTTCTCAGGTTCTGGTGGAGAACTCAAAGAAGCAAGCTTACAGAAACCTGGAAGGCTTGATCCCAATGGATTCCCGTTCAGCAATCGGACCCTCACGGCAACTCCCTCTGCCGCCGCCGGAAATCCAATCCGATCCCTTTCACCTCTCAAACAATCTCACCCTTCACCAACTCGAATTCCCCGTCCTCCGCCACGGTAAAAATCCTCTTTATAATTTCTTACCCCACCTCTGTTTTTTAACCACTCTGTTCTTCCCTCAACTCTCGATTCTCAAATTACCAAAATTGAAATCGCTTCTTTCCTTTCACTATTGCAGACGAATCCGACTTGCATCTGGATTTCAACAACAATAACAATTACTCAACAAGCTCATCGTCGTACGACAGCATCAGCACCAGCCCCATCCAACTCAGCCCGTTCCTACGAACGGCGAGCTTCAAGTTCTCCGGCGGCGGCAGTGCGGGACACTTTGCCATCCCGCAGGAATCCGGCGGATGGGCGCTGCAATCCGGCAGGTCCTCTTCATGGCCGACTACTGCACCGGAGGACACGGCGCTGGTAGCGGCGGCGGCTTCCCCTACTCCATGGGGACCTTTGTTTTTCCCGCCGAGGATCACGGAAGAAGAAGTGGCGGCGGCTGTTCTATCGTCGTTCCCGAGCTTCGGCGCCAGCCGGATGGATTTCCCCACCGCCGTCGGGAGGCCGAGGGCACGTTGGTGCAAGATCCGGACCGCGTTTAAGGTCCGATCGATGTTGTTGTCTGCTCAGAGAATGTGGCACTCGAGGTTCTATCAGTAAAAAGTTACGCCCAATGGGTTGGCGATGGCGACTGAGAAAATGGCTTTTTTTTAGAGTGTAAAGTAAAAGCGTCTCTAGTTCTTAGGAGGGTGAATTTGGCAACGCCAATTTTTTTTTTACTCCTGGGTAAAATGAGATGTATAGGTCACTTATTGTAACTTGTAAGTTTTACCGCTGGCTGTTTCGTTTTTTAGCCGTTCATGTAACTAGCAAGGTGAAAGAAGTGGTGGCGGCATTGTCTGAAATATAATGGTCGCCCCAATATCTTATATAGGCTTTTGGTTTTCTCCACTGATGGGCTATTTTCGATGGGCTAGATGACCTTGTATGTATAATCTGTAGGTCCCATTTGTTGGCTCGGTATTCTGCAGGAAATTACTCTTCTGATGGATCAGCTAGATGGTTGTTCTCTTCGGTTTGTTGGTCAGCGGCTCAGTGTAACAACAGAGTAACCCATTTGTTGTTTCGTAAGATTATGCTTTTGTCATCGCGTATTTGGCAGCGATTTGGCTTTGTTTCTTGGTTCAATAGTCTATAGGTCCCTTGTATAAACTGATGATCGATTCCAATCCTCTATTCAAGAGCATAGTTAATAAAATACAGTACGGGAAAGTTACGTATAAAATATGTACGGGTATGTTATTCCGTCTCTAAACTAATGTTATGTTTAATAGTATGTTAATATTCATAAATATATAAAAATAATTATTTTATAAATAAATAAATTTATAAATAATAGTAAAGCTAACAATTTAATTCATTAAATAAGGATATTAAATATGTTGTACGGGTTTTATACGTGTTCAGTACGGGAGCCATCAAATGAACGGGAAAAATGAAACGATTTGACAATAATACGGATACAAAAATTTTAAACAGATAAAATACGTACAGGTACATATACGTGTATTAAACGGAGTATTTACAAACTAAGTTGAAGAGTCATCGTAATAAATAAAAAAATTGTAGCTGGCTTCAAATGTATAGAGGATGGTTTCTTATGTTCCTGTAATCATCTCCCACCAAGAGGCAACAACAACAAGAGAATATGTGAAGAATGAAGATGCATTTACCACGAAGATTTGGTTGAACCAATTTTTTATAGAGGATCTCATTTTGCACTCATCCAACATCCCACTAATTTTCAATAGGTGTAAGGAACATGAACTACTTTATTCTATTATGCCAACAAAAAATGCAAGAGATAGATGAAAAACGTGTCTTCATACCGTAGCAAAGTAAAAAATCCGAATGAGGGGTTGATTTGAATTCTCATAATTGGGAGATGAGGGCTAAAGCTTTAACGATTATTCTAATTTCGAAATTTGTGCAAAATTTACATGTAATTTAACCTATATTTCAAAATTGAGTGGGGCTAGAGCCTCTCCTCGTTTCAACTTAGCTCTAACAATGTCTTCATGAATAAAAATACCCCCAAGTTGTAGGTGTTTAAATGGGTAGTTAGATCGGGGATGAAATTGGGCCAAACTCGACTCTGTTTTGCCAATACTTTAAAACATTTGGTCCCATAGGATCAAACATCCAACTTGACCAAGCAATGAGTTGGCTCACATTAATAAACACGTTTTTTTAATTATATTTTGGTACCCAAACTTATTTTCTCTTACAATTTAGTATCTAAAATTTAATTTTTACAAAACAGTTTAGAGATTTTGGTGGTAAAATAATGTTTTGAGTACCTTATTACTTTTTAATTTGCAATATAGTACCTAAACTTTACAACTTTACAAATAGGTCCAATATGTTGGTTATAAAATCATCAATACTTGTGATAAATCTTGTTGGAAATGAGTGAATAGATTTGAAAGCTATAAAGTCTCAAGTTGGAAAAACTACCACATTGGTAGTTTTACTTGGTGAAATGTGTATAAAGATAGGAGCCTCTCTCCTAAGGGCATGCTCCTTGGGGTGACCCACTTTTGTGGGAGAGGGAGGACCTAACAGACCACCACACACGCGCGTGCGCCTTCCGTCTTTCCGACTGGTCGGTCGATCGGTTGGTTCACTTGAGACTATATATTTTTTGGAGAAATTCCGAACGAAATTAATTATTAGATAATTAATTATTAATCGGTTACTTCGAATATTCTAAGGATAATCGATTAAAAGGAATATTCGAAAGATAATCATGCCAGGAATTATCTTACAGACGGGTTCTAATTAAGGAAGTAATTATCTTCCTTAATTAATCCGACTTATTCCCCAAGCAAGAGGGTATATTGCTAGGGGTTCGACTCCTATAAATAGCCGCCTCCCCAACCCCTCTAAACACACCACAATACGAGCATAAACACAATAGAGAGAGTGTTCAGAGAACTCGGGTTTTCGCACAAAACCGCGAGTACAGAGAAAAGATGTTTTATCTTGAAGACGGCCGGTTGATAGTCTACCGTGCGCATCGAGGGCAGTGTCGTGAACATCTTAAAGAGAGCAACCTAGTCCGCGACTCAGCTCCAGATTCCGTAACCTCGTTCTTGTTGTTGTTCCATTCCTAACAATTTTAAGACGTTCGGCTGCTGCTATGTCGACTGAACAGAATAACATGGTCGGATCTAATGTTGTCGATATCAATCGACCATTTCGCTTCGTTGGAGTCAACTTCCGTCGCTGGAGACAAAAGATGGAGTTCTACCTAACGACCAAGAAGTTGGCACACTGCCTCACCAGCATGCCCGTCGAGCTGCCGGAAGAAGCGACCGATGAGGAGAGGGTTGTTTCTGCTAAGGAAAGGGAGCATGACTTCCTGTGCAAGAACGACTTCCTCAACGGCCTGGCAGACGATCTCTACGACTACTATGCGGACAGCAAGAACACAGCAATGATGATCTGGGATGCGCTCCAAAAGAAGTATGACACAGAGGAGGCTGGAGCTAAGAAGTATGTTGTTAGCCACTACCTGCGCTACCAGATGGTGGATGACAAGTCTGTCGAAGTTCAGTCCCACGAACTTCAGAAAATAGCTCATGAGATCGTCTCTGAAGTTATGCCTCTGGACTATCAATTTCAAGTTGCTTGCATTATTGATAAGCTGCCCCCTTCGTGGAAAGATTTTAAGAATATGCTTAGACATAAAACCAAAGAATTTTCACTGGAAAGCTTGATTACTCGCTTAAGGATTGAGGAAGAGTCCCGCAAGCAGGATATGAAAGAAGAGGTGATGGTCGTCACTGCTAAACGACCCAACCCTAGAGCTCTTAAACCTAACCAGAAAGGGTTTAAGAGTAAGAACCAGTAGGTCCGCCCCCACCAGAATGGTGCCTCTCGAGGTAACCAAAGGTTCATGGCCCAAACCTCTAAGAATGACCCACCATTTATCTGCTATAACTGCGGTAAACCGGGTCATATGGCAAAAAAGTGCAGGAACAAGCATAACCGCTGCGGCCAGGGTTAACTTGACAGAAGAGGATTTGATAGCCATGATCACGGATATGATCGCTGAAGTCAACCTCACCGGTGACTCAGAAGGATGGTGGCTGGATACAGGTGCATCGAAGCATGTATGCAACAATTGTGCTATGTTTAAAACATACACAGAAGCACCTGCTGGCAAGAAAGTGTTGGGGACTACTCACACCACTATGGTTGCTGGTTCTGGTGAAGTGGAGCTGAACTTCACCTCTGGGAAGAAGATGGTGCTCAAGGATGTGTTGCACACTCCAGAGATAAGGAAGAATCTTGTTTTGGGATATCTTCTTAATAAGGCTGGGTTTAATCAATCTATTGGGGCGGACTTGTATACCCTTACTAAGAATAGGAGTTTTGTGGGAAAGGGATATGTATGTAATGGAATGTTCAAGTTGAATGTCGAAATTAATAAGATGAAGTCTTCAGTTTACATGGTGTGTGATTTGAATGTTTGGTATGCTCGTCTTTGTCATGTGAACGCACGAATTGTGAAGAATTTAAGCAAGCTAGGACATATCCCTAAACTCTCAATGAATGAATTTGATAAATGTGATTTCTGTAGCCAAGCTAAAATAACGAAAACGCCCCATAAATCTGTGAGTAGAGAATCAGAACCCTTAGATCTGATTCATTCTGATATTTGTGAACTAGATGGGACGTTAACTAGGTCTGGCAAGAGATACTTTATCACTTTCATAGATGATTGCTCTGATTATTGCTTTGTTTATTTGATGAAAACAAAAGTGAAGCCCTTGACATGTTCAAGGTATTTGTGGTTGAATTCGAAAATCAGTGCAATCGAAAGATAAAAAGACTTAGGAGCGATAGAGGATCAGAGTATGACTCTAATCCCTTCAAGGAATTCTATAGCTCACATGGTATCATTCATGAAACCACGGCACCATATTCACCAGAAATGAATGGTAAAGCTGAGCGGAAAAATAGGACATTTACAGAATTAGTTGTGGCTATTATGCTCAATTCTGGAGCTGCTTCTTCTTGGTGGGGTGATATTTTGTTGACGGTTTGCTATGTGCTAAATCGTCTTCCAAAAACAAATAGAAAAGAATCACCCTATGAGATCTTGAAGAATAAGCCACCTAATCTGTCCTATTTAAGAACGTGGGGCTGTTTGGCCTACGTAAGAATTCCTGATCCTAAGAGGGTTAAGTTGGCTAGTCGAGCATATGAATGTGTCTTCGTTGGCTATGCGGCCAATAGTAAGGCATATAGATTCTATGATTTGAATGCTCGTACTATAGAATCCATTGATGCTGATTTCTTTGAGACACGATTTCCATTTAAAACGAGAAATAGGGGGTAATGTACTACCCGCTATTAGAGATAACGGAACTAGTGGGGGTGTTGGATCTGAGGATGAACTCAGAAGAAGTAAAAGAGCTAGAATCTCTAAAGATTTTGGTGATGACTTTTACAGTACAGTATACACCCTAGAGGATCCAAAAAGTTTGCAGGAAGCATTAACTTCCATAGATGCAGACTTTTGGAATGAGGCCGTTATAGATGAAATGGAATCGTTAGAGCTAATAAGACTTGGCATCTAACAGACTTACCTCCTGGCTGCAAAGTCTTAGGTAATAAATGGGTTCTAAAAACGAAACGGAAACCTGATGGTGCAATCGAAAGGTTCCGAGCTCGCCTAGTAGTCAAGGGCTACAGGCAGAGAGAGATATAGATTTCTTCGACACCTATTCACCAGTATCTAGAATAACATCCATTCGTGTCATGATTGCTCTTGCTGCCTTGAACAATCTCGTGGTACACCAAATGGATGTTAAGACTGCTTTTTTGAACGGTGATCTAGATGAAGAAATCTATATGGAACAACCAGAAGGGTTTGTTATCCCTGAACATGCCTCGAAAGTCTGTAAGTTGGACAAATCATTATATGGTTTGAAACAGGCTCCAAAACAGTGGCATGAGAAGTTTGACACTCTCGTTCTCTCACATGGCTTTAAGGTGAATGAAAGTGACAAGTGTATTTACTGCAAGTCAGAGAATAACACTTGCACTATCATATATTT